CTTGTAAATTCCCGGATCGCACACCATGATCTCGGTCGTGATCTCCATCTCCAGTCCGCCAAATTCGTCCATACTATCGGTATAGTTTGTAAGACCGTGACTGATCCTGACAGGAATGAATGGAAAAAAGAGCATGTCGTATTACGGCCAAGCGGCTAAAGTAGCCAAAGTCGTGATAAATCCTGTCAATAAAATCGGAATAAGAGCTTTGGTTTCAGCCTATCGGGATAGAGATAGACAGAAAAGGAACTTTCGCCGTTTATCATCAGTCTTCTGTCCCTTTTGCTACACTTGTGTCCTTATTTTGTACCTAATTCTCATCATCGCATGTATTGTTTAAAGCACCCTAAATCCCATCGAATTCAAATAAGAACGAAATAGGGATGCAATCGATGTTGCTCAAAAAATTATGCACATGAATTGGCACGAAACAAACCTTAATATGAAGGGTAAATAACACCAATTTATGTGTTATCAGTGGGGTTTCCTTAAAATACTATCAATTACATTTTTTGTCCATATCTCCTTCCTCCTCTAACATCTTCTTAATCATCTCTCTCTTACAGCAATAAGAACATATTCTCAATCTTTCAGCTCCACCAAGGAGATCGCCATTATTTCCACCAAGAGACAATGAGCGATTCGGCCTTCCCCCACCAGCGGTCGATTTGGTTTTGAGCTCCATAACATCTACATCCCACATAATCCAATCTGGGGTGCCTGTTATATGTGAGATGTCATGGGCAACATGATTTTTCCATGGAGGGACGGCACCGTTGGCGAGAAGATACTGGTGGTGGCGGGTGTTAAGGTAAACTTTAACCCCTTCTATAATGGGCTCCCATTCGACGGAGGTATCAAGGCATGCGAGAGTATTCTGAATAACTTTTCCCCTTCTAGTTGTCACTTTTGGGGGGTTTCACATTCTCCTTTTGACTCATGGTTGGCCGATGACAAGAGCCCATAACTCAGAAACATCGACGAGGAGTTGAACCCAGAATCATCAATGAGGATGTGAACCCAATAGTCAACGAGGACTTAAACATTGGGTGGGTTGCTGGGTACAACGACAACATGTAGGGTATCTGATTAGGATCTGTAGGGTCAATTAGAGGAAAGGATTGGGAGGGACAATCGTTGGCGACATGTTGGGCAGAGCAACCGATTGGGATTAGGATGGACAATAAAAGGGAGGGAAATCAAAGAGAAGGATGACATGGGTGCGTTAAAATGGTGGGGAAGAAAGGAAGAAGATTAGTTTTGGATTAAAAAAACCAACCATGTGAGTTTTCAAAATAGCTAATGCAAGATATGGTTATCAGTTGGGTGATTTCCCTGTCAGATACTTAGGTGTTCCCCTCATATCTGGGAAGCTAATTCTGGGGGGGTGTAGGCCTTTAATTGAAAAGCTTGTCTCGCGAATTAGAAGCTGGCAAGCAAAATCGCTTTCTTATGCAGGCAGAATTGAATTAGTAGGGATTGTGCTATATAGTCTCACTCAGTTTTGGAAGTCTTGTGTTTTTGCTCCAAAAAAGAGTGATTAATGAAATTGAAAAGATATGAAGTGATTTTGTTTGGGGGTACAGGCGGGGATTAAACTCAGAGCTAATGTGGTGTGTAATAAAGTTACTTATCCTAAGAGGGACGGAGGATTGGGGTTGAGAGACTTGGGATCTTGGAATAAGGCTTGCATGATCAGAGATATATGGCTGACTGATGCAACAGGGGTCTATTTGGGTTGCATGGATAGACAAGTATAAGCTAAAGGGTCAAGGCTTGTGGGACTACACTAGAAGTGTGAGCTCTAGTTCATGGAACTGGAGGAAGATTCTTAAACTTTGAGCTGCTATTAGACATTTGTTTTCTGTGAGAGATGGGCAAGTGTATTGGAATTATGTTCCTATGCAGAAGTACTCTATCAAACAGGTTTGGGAAGTCCTTAGACCAAGACAACAACGAGTGCCTTGGGCTAAACTAGTATGAAGGGTGTGGCAATACCAAAGAACAGAGTTCTCGCATGGTTGTTCATAAGGGCTAGCAGGTTCACATAGCATGTACCAGGGGGTAGTTGGGAAACTGAGTTGAGCTAGGAATTCCAACAATTTAGTGGCAACGATGAGGCAGCAGAGACAGGTAGAATTATTTGGCAGATGTGGTTAATTCACATTTGGAGGGAAAGATGTTGTCGATTATATGCAGGTAAGAGCAAGGAAGTTGCTAGCTCGCAACACGATATTAATGCTTATGTGGAATGTATCTTGGGGTCTCATAGGGTTCACCGTTTTGGGGGGGTTTAATAGTCTCTTTAGTGATGTCTATAGTAGTAGAATGAGTATAGGAAAGTATTTTTGGACTCATTATGTTTGCAAAACCTAACTAGCAAGGTGTGTTGCTAGTAACTCTTTTGATGAATATAACCCACTCATTCATGGAAAAAAAAATAGCTAATCCAATTAGCTATTTGTAAAACTCACACTATGAACTTCAACAAATTAATTCATTCTAACATTTAGGAAAATGAAGGCTTACACTAGTCGTCTGAAAACTTACACTCATTGGGAAGCTATTCCGCTTGGACAATCCAGTCTCCATAGGAGTAACAACATCTACAGCTGCAAAGTAGAACATAAATCATAGATGGAGGGGATTTAGTCAAGAAATTGCCCCAGGGTCCTTCTCATTCCTTTTGTCTTTCATTTGTTGAATTAGCTCTGGGTTTTGACAGCTATACGAAATGAAATCCCAGTGACAGGGAATCCAATCCTCCTCGTATGGGATGTACAATTAAATTTCTGTCGTAATTTTCCATTTCAGTTGGAGGAAGGTTTTCTGCTCTTACTAGTCTGATTTATAACGGACTAGAAAACAAGCGGTTAGAGTATCGCTTTCATACGGCGAGAGTCATTGGTTCAAATCCAATAGTAGGTAAAACCGGCCGAAACCCCTGCTGAAGATCCAGGTAAGTTGAGGGGCCTAATTGGTATACTGAAATTAGGGTTGTTTATCATGTTAGCGATGTAGCCGGTAACCGACAGTTAACAGTTACACGAAAACCAATTAAAAGTAAAGAATTAGTTACCGATAATCAAATTTAGCTAATTAGTAATTGATGGTTAATTGATTAACCGGCTAACCAATTACTGTCATCCTTTCAGTTAAGGCAAAAAAACAATAGGAATCGATGAGTCGTAGGCATAGGCATAGGCAAAAAATAATTGGATGTTTGAAGGCCTACAAAATCACTTGCCTACCGTAATTCTAATAGTGACTTAGGTTCAAATGAGAATAATTTCTAGCAAAGGCTCTAGAAGAGCTTAGCAGAAAGATGGACTTGCGCACAGTAGCTCGACAACAATCAACAACATTTAAGCTTCCATGTAATTTTGTGGGGGTCTATGAGTAAAGTAATTGTTTTTGGGTCTCTTATTCTTGGTTGCTTCTTTAATCAAATCTGACATTAGAATGGTGTTATTGTGTACTTGTGTTGAATTGAGTTGACTATGGATTGATATCTATGTTAAATTATTTTTTATTCAATGATAAAAACTAAAAAAATACATATAAATGTAGAAAAAAACTACAAAAATGGACAATTGAAAAAAGGATGAGGTCTTCTGTTGTTTAGGTTATTGGTCGATTATTTTGGTTTAACCTTGTGGAATCACTTGATTAATAGTTATCCGGTTAATCGGAAAAAAATGATAGCATTCTATATGGTTACAATTAACCTACTAATAATAAACGTTGGTTAACGGTAAACACAAATTGATTAACGTTTAATCGATAACCAGCTAACTGTTATAGCCGAACTAAATAAGAGCCCTAAAGGAAAAGGTTGTTTTCTTAATATTCTACAACACAGCGGTATAAGAGTGTAAATGAGCCAAATTGCGAATTAGGAAAAAACGCGTTCGGCATTCTGTTTGTTTACTAATGAGTGGAGTTTGGTCTATGTCTTGCTAATCACCCTAGTTGTGGCGAGTTCTACCATATACCAATTGGACCTTCTCACAAGTTCGAGATTGTTTTATTGATTTCAATCATGATTTTTATTTTCTGCTTAAGATCGTGGTATTATCAAGAAGCTTGCTTCTTGTTTGGCTGCGTACTTTGATAACTCGTGAGTCTAGGAGTTCGAGCCTCAATTAATTTCAGGGCTCATGAGTTGGCTCAAAGTGCGGCTAGCGAGCGAGCTTGACTATCGAATTATGATCAAATCGATTTATAACTTTACAAGTTGACTTCTTGATAACTTATAAGTTTGTTATGTTATATATCTCATCACACAATACTTTGAATACATTAGAGACTAGGGTAAATATAATATATTAGCCAGAACTATTAAGCAACAGGGAATTATAGCCAGAACTATGAAAATACAAATTATTAGCCATTTCGTTAAAAACCTTAACGAAAACATTGTAAATGCTTACTGTACAAATGATTTTTTAGTGATGTGGCAATTTTTCCGGCAAATGATTTTCAGTTATGTGGCCGATGACATGACGATCTGCGTCAAAAATTTGATAACGGTAACGGGCTGTTAGCCATATCTTGATCCGCAACAATAGTTATGGCTAATAATTTGTATTTCGATAGTTGTGGCTATAATTCTCCGTTGCTTAATAGTTATGGCTAATATATTATATTTACCCTAGAAACTATGTATAAGATTTTTTAGATACTAATAACTACTAAATGACATCCAATAAACAACTAAAATTTATAGGTCTTGTATAATTTATAGGTTATATATATCATCACATATGATGTTCAGTACTTTGATTAAGATTTTTTTAAATACAAATAACTACTAAATAACATAATAGAAACAATTAAAATTTATAAATTAAAGAATATAATATCTAAGTTCGAGCTCATGACCTGTTAATGAGATAAACTCGAATTAAATCAAAACTCATCTCGTTGGAATTTGGAACCAATTGATTTTGAGGTACTAGTGCGGTCAGCTCGCTTTCTTCTCTTCTCTCCCACTCGCTGTCCTCCCTCTCTGTCTTCTCACTCTTCCTTTTCTCTCACATTCTCTCTGATTGCACTCCGGGATAAACCGTAAAACCGACTAAAAAAAGGAAAACAAAGGTGGGGAAAAGGAGGAAATAAGTGAAAGAAAAAAAAATTAAAAGCGAAACCATTTCTTCAAGTTCCCAAAAGGAACGAAGGGGCAAAGAAGAAGAAGAAAAAAGAGCCCTTTTTCCCCAATATCTTCTTCACTCGGTGTTCGGCTGAGGGCTTGAAGCTTTTTAATTGTCCTTTGCTCTTATGCAAAGTGCGTCCCTGTAGAAGTAAAATCTGGGGGGAGGAGGAGAAGAAACAACCCCAATTCAAGAGAAAAGGGGCTTCGGGCTGCTGGGAGCTGTTGCTGCTTTTGCTTGCTGAATGGTAGGTTATTTCAGGAAATTTAGCAAGGAGATGAACAAAGAGAAGCCTCCTGAGCCGCTCGATTTCTTCATTTGGACTGTCGAGGTAATTAATCAAACTCTGACCTTAAATTGGATCTTATAGATGCTGGATCTTGTTTGTACATGGGGTTTCTGATTGCTCTTCAAATTTGATGTGTAAAGTTCCCATTTTTTTATGGTTTTATTTATTCCGATTGACTGGGGGGGTTCATTTCCCCTTTTCCTGAATCGGGTTCTTCATTTCCTGGAAAAATTTAAAGCCGGGTGGGTGGTCTTCCATTTTCTCTTCTGTAACCAATTGGTGAAGTTGAAAGCTGGGATTGTTGTTTGGCTGCTTCCTGGCTTCGAATTTGAGACAGAGAGTGTAGTCAGAAAAGAGACTTTGTGCGATTCCCTCAAGGATTTAGGAAGGTCTTTGTCTATAAGCTACCCAACCAAACTCCTACTTGATTTCTGGTCAGTTTGGCCAGCTTAAAGTTCGTTCAACAGCGACAAACTCCATTCATATTGAGGTTTGATTGCGTAGACTGTATTGATTAGTGTATGAAATGAACTGAACAGAATGAAAGTGCGGTGTCACCCGTTCAATTTGTCTGTTAGGTTATGTTGATTTGTGGAGAGACTTAGTTGCATTGTTTCGCTACCTAGCACAATGAATATACTAAGAGTGTTCTTTCACTGAGTCGTCTATATGTTGTCATTCGTTTCAGTTGTTGCTACTTGTTATGGCTTTCGGTGTTCCTATTCTTTTATAGAAGATTTAGGTACTTCGTCCAGTTTCTCTCCTTGGACATTCAACTGTTACTTGTAATGGACGCCTGTTGATTTGCAGTTTTCTTGACATAGATGAAAGTTCTACGGCGTAGTTTTATTCAAATGAGGTGTATTTTTGTCCTGGATGATTCTCAGTGATTCGTTCCGGTCTTATGAGTTGAAGAAGTCAAATTAGAGAGACTGGTGAATGAAATTGCTTCCTACGTTTGGTCTCTATGGAGCTGTTTTTGTAGATTGAAGAAGCAACGGATGTGGTAGACACCACTGAGCTGTTTTGATGGAATATATTGATAGGTTTCCACTGCATAATAGTTGGACTGGGTTCCACTCAAATGGGCTTTAGACATCTTGAAAACAAAATGTAGGAGTTCCGAGTTGCTTCGTGAAGCTTTACTCATTCGTAGTAAAGCAGGGAATAGGTAGAGCAAGGTAGCACCCGTTCTTTTTAGGAATTTTATGCTTGTGTAATGGTTCACCTTAGTGGGTGACTTTCACTTAATTGCTGATTACATTTTGAAGACAATACCAATAGAGGAGGTTGGACCTTTCGCCCTAGGCCAGGATAGGGCTTTAAGCTTTCTCAATTCAATTGAAGCGAATGATTAAAAAAATATCAAAATTACCTCAAGCTGTGTTGTAACTTCTAGATTGTATCTCCTTTTTTGGACCTTGGCAGGTGAGCGATGAGTGAGTTACTTACCAGTGGTGAACTTAAAGGACTTGCTTTCAAGTTATTGAAAACATGAAATTTGTTGTTGATTCGTTTAGATCTAAGAATCAATTCTCAACGTCATGCAGTACAACTTGACTGTTTACCAACTAGCAATGTGGTGTGATCCATTGATGATGCTTTAGCTTTCAGCTTCAGTATATTCTTATATGTTTTCAAAGACTAACCTTTGTTGTCCCTCTATTTATGGCTCATGCTAGGATGTTGGTTTGTGGCTGGAAGAGATAAATCTGGGTAGCTACCGTCAGATTTTCAAAGAAAATGGTGTCAATGGAGAGTATCTAGAAGGCATGTCCATGTTCACAACAGAACAGATACTAAGGTTTATAAGGCGGTGCCACATGAAATGGGGTGACTTCATAACGCTGTGTAAGGAGCTCAGAAGAATAAAAGGTTCAGATCCCCTTCCCTCCTTTGCTTTATTCATCTCTCTCTTTCTTCTTCTTCTTCTTCTTCTTCTTCTTCTTCTTCTTCTTCTTCTTCTTCTTCTTCTTCTTCTTCTTCTTCACTTCAGCATTGGATCAATGTATTTTTGGGTAGTCTTGGTTGTAAAGACCACCCAAGGATATGATGATCTTCTTCTGTCAAGTTGAAAGTTGAGAGAGCTCCCATTTTGTAAGCTCGTGCTTACTATAACTTGTTCTAGAATATTGGGGAGTGGGGGGGTCAATGATAACAGATGTACGATACAAGTCTTTCCATGATTTATCATCTGAGAATTCCCATGCTATATCATCTGTTCTCATGGCCATCTCCAGTTTCTCATCTGAAGCTTTTGCTGCAGTGGCCTGCCTCAAAGGAGAGCAGAAAGTCCGGCGGCCATGGTGGGTTCCATCCTGCCTTTCAGTAGTGCTTGTGAACGTAGCAAAGCGGAACAGACAATCACGGGTTGTTTCCTTGAAGCTGGAACCATGAATGATGATGGATGGCAAGCAAGCAGGAATCCATAAAATGGGATTCATGATGTATGTATTTTGTAGTAGTTTCTTCTTAAGTCGTCTTTTGGTTTTTTCTCCCTTTTAGGCGGTAGAAGGAAGTAGAGAACTCTCCCAAAACTTTTGGCTCTGGTATTTGGCAAGATGTTTGCTGAAAGTTCTTCCATGGAGAACTTTTGTTTACTTATATATGTACACAAATACAACCACCCCTTGTCTCTCTTGTTCTGTTGTTCTTGTTGTAATTTGCTCTTTTGGCTTTTTGATATGTAGTTGTATCTTAATATACATAAATTTTTATGTATTGTTTTTGTTTAAGCAAAATATACAGTGTACTTGTAATCTTTCAGTGGCATCTGTGAATTATCTGTTTAAGCAATACGTGCAGTTTACTTTCTTCTGACGTGCAACTTTTGGGTAAAGACTGAGAGAGTGAACCAAGGAGGAAGGGAAAGAACAGCTGCTAATGAGAATTTTGAAGTCTTCCGTCATCATAGCTTTTTTGGATTCTATAAGACCTCTTTAATTCTGAGCCGAACAAATGGTTGCCTTGTTATGTATCTTCTGTTCTCTTTTCTCAGCCAAGAGAATAGAGTTTATTAAGTTAAGTTAGTACTTGAGGTGGTTGATGCGTTCCACACTTATTTGAGAGTGTTTTCAGGTTTAAATTCAATGGTCTTCTTTTTCCTTCTGATTATTCATAAAGATCCGGATTTTTCTTCCTGATGATATGTTGTGGTCTACTATCTCGAGTGATCATTGAATGGTATGTATTAAGCATAATTGAAACAAGGTGATGATTGATTCTCAATTTTTTTTGTTTAAATTTAACAAATCAATTTATTCCTCAAGTATAGTATAACTAACTTGATTTTTGACGATTTATTATGTAATCAAATTCAATCTTTAATATAGCGAGGTAAAAAACATCTGACCAAAGTAATAGTTGAATCAAATCCGATTTAGTATGATTTGATGAAACTAAATAAAAATTGAACAGGATTCAAATTTAGCGGAAAGAAATGCTGATCGTATCTCACCAATCTGATCGTTTGGATGCAAAATTTCATTATTGAAGGATTTGGACCTGAAAACACTCTCAGACATGCCCAAAAATCCCACATTTTGAATCTCCCTTTTAAACGAATCAAAATTCTAGATCCAAATCCTCGTCCAAACCACCATGCGTCAATTTGTACTGAAACGGACCTAAGCAGAACTCTTCTACCCAAACAAAGACCCGATATTTCAAAATTCTCCCACGCTCCAGCGCTACTTTTCCTCCTTTCATTTCGCGAAGCTCTCAAGTCTTGGCCCTCAACCAGCGTTAAAACCCTAAACCTCTCCCAAATCAAGCTCGTTCAACTCCAGTAATATGTTCTCTCCAGCAGCGAAGAGGTCGAGCTTCAGTGCTCGCAAGGAAGGACAATCCACACCATCAGCAGCAGCAGCAGCAGCAGCTACTGGTTCCCCATTCACTCCCGCGACTGATAATCGCAAGTCGGTCTTCTTCGGCAATAATGCAGTCCCCGAACGTCCGGCCACCGGGACTCCCGCTCCCTGGGCTCCTCCTCGCCTCTCCGTTCTCGCCAGGTGCTTCTCATTCTCACTTCATTTCTATAGCTTATTTGTTCAGATTCTGTAATTTCCTTCCGATGTGGCGCTTTGCAAGTCTGAGCAGTTCCGGGGGTTTTCCGCGCGTCCGATTGTTTCTCGTTGAGCTTCTCGTTGTGGATGCTTGCATTGGCTAACTGGACTGGATTTCTTAGCGCTATTAAACTATTGCTTGGAGAATCTGGGTTGCTTCTTTCTTGCGCTGAAATAAATTACGGAGTAGTGCTTCCGATCACCTGGGGCAATGATTTTGATAGCCACGGTGTGTTCTGTTTGAAAATTGTCTTGCGCTGCTGTTTGTGCAAGTTACGAGCTGTTTCAGAGGTTTTCTACTTTGATTGCTCTCGTCCTGCTTCGTCTCGCCGATCCTTGCCCTCGTAGCTGTCACTCTGCGATATTGTGTGCTTTTAAACTATATTAGTGTCTGTCAAACGTGTTTGGATTGCTTGAAGAATTTAGTGTGCTTACTTACCTCTTGAGTTTTGGCGACGCCTTTTGCTTGATTGTCCACACTGATTCGTCTCTGGTTAGTTTCGCTGTGTGAATTGTGTTGTTTAGTTCGCTGTAACTTGAACAATTTAGAAATGTATTTCTATTGCACACAGGATTCCGCCGACTGGAAAAGTTGAGAAAGGGACTCAAGCGGATCCAATTAAACCTGTGTATGTTGGAGAATTTCCCCAGGTGGTTCGTGATGAACAGGCGAGACTGCAGAAGCATATTACTGGTTTGTACATGATCTCGATCCAGAAATTTTTACTTCTTTGGTTTCTGCAAATGCCACTGTTGAAGTTGTATCCACTCTTTCTCAGGCGATGTACTAGTGTCTGGTGGCATGGACAAGGAAGCGTGTCTGTCATGGATGATTTGTGGGAGCAACGTTTATGTCTGGAGTTATTTGTCATCTGCAGCTTCAAAGAACTGCACTGTTCTAGAACTGCCTTCAGACATTTTGCAGTGTGCAGATATTGGTAAAAGTCCCTATCATGGTAGCAGTTGGTTGCTGTCTGTTGTTGAATGGCATAGAACTAACCAAAGAGGCAATAAAGTTCAACAGAATCCCGGTTCTGTTGGTATCATAATGTGCAACCAAAAAACTAGAGCTGTTATTTACTGGCCAGAGATTTATGGAGAAGAACGATCTGCTCCCGTTAGCACTGTTATATCCTTAGATGAACCCGAGGTCTCTTCTTCCCCAATTGATGCAAGAACACCACCTAGTAAACAGAGACAGCGTAGTAGGTCTGCAAGTAGTTCGACTAGATTGCATTCCTTGAACTCTTTGATTGCTTCTGCTGTACCTGCTTCCAAGCATGTGTGTGTAGCCTTTGCTTGTTGTTCCAACGGTGAGCTCTGGCAATTTACATGTAGCCCTGATGGTATTGAGCATAGAAAAGTGTATCAGAATTCATCGACTTTGTCCTCCCAAGCCAGTGACAGTGGCCAATTTGTTGGGAGTAAGGGCTACCCAAGGTCACTTGTATGGCGCTTCTCTGCTTCATCCATGGAGGATTCTAATAGAGAGTTTTTCATGTTGACTGATCATGAGATACAGTGCTTTAGTGTTTCATTTAATCCTGAGATAAATGCTACAAAGATCTGGGCGCATGAAATTGTCAGCACCGATGGTGACTTGGGTATTAAGAAGGATTTAGCCGGTCAGAAACGAATATGGCCTCTGGATGCACAGGTGGATGAACGTGGTAAAGTGATTACTGTACTTGTTGCCATATTCTGCATGGATCGGGTTACCAGTTCTAGCTATACACAATATTCTCTTTTGACCATGCAATACAAGTCTCAAGTAAGCAGATCTTCTGATTTACACGAGAGAGTGTTGGAGAAGAAGGCTCCAATTCAGGAAATAATTCCTAAAGCAAGACTGGAGGAGGAAGATTTCTTGTTTTCCATGAGACTTAGGGTAGGAGGGAAGCCAGCAGGCTCAGCAATCATACTTTCTGGTGATGGAACTGCCACGGTATCTCACTATTATAGGAGCAAAACCCGTCTGTATCAATTTGATCTTCCTTATGATGCAGGAAAAGTTCTAGATGCATCGGTTCTGCCACCAGCTGATGATGGTGAAGATGGTGCATGGGTTGTATTAACAGAGAAAGCAGGAATATGGGCAATACCAGAAAAAGCTGTTGTACTCGGAGGAGTAGAACCTCCTGAGAGAAGCTTGTCACGCAAAGGTAGCTCAAATGAAAGATCTTCACAAGAAGAAAGACGGAATGTTACATTTGCAGGCGCCTTTGCTCCTAGAAGGGTTAATTCTGAAGCATGGGATCTTGGTGATAGGCAAAGGGCAGCTATGACTGGGATTGGACGTTCTACGGCGCAAGACGAAGAATCAGAAGCTTTGCTTGGTCAGCTTTTCCATGATTTCTTGCTAACTGGGCTGGTAGATAGTTCATTTGAAAAGCTTCGCAACTCTGGTGCATTTGAAAGGGATGGGGAGACGAATGTTTTTGCCCGAACAAGCAAGTCGATCGTTGATACCTTAGCCAAACATTGGACAACTACCAGGGGTGCTGAAATTGTCTCTATGTCTATCGTCTCCAGCCAACTCATGGATAAGCAGCAAAAACATGAAAAATTTCTCCAGTTCCTTGCCTTATCAAAATGCCATGAAGAACTTTTGACCAAACAAAGTACGAGTTATTTGTTTAATCTTTTCAGAAAGTATGACATACTATTGAATATTTTACCTTCACTATACTTTCTACACAATCATAGAAGTGCTATTCTTTCTATATTGTCTTGCTTGTTTTTCATTGACTGACTGCATAATTCTTATCTGACACTCCTGATCCTTTTTTGGTATTAGGACAATCTTTACTAACAATATTGGAACATGGTGAGAAACTTGATGGAATGATACACCTGAGGGAAGTACAGAACACAATCAGCCAGAGCCGTGCACCTGCATCTGGTGGGCTGTCGGGTTCAGAATCTCAAGTTTCAGGTGCTCTTTGGGATCTAATTCAGCTAGTTGGCGAGAGAGCCCGTCGGAATACTGTTCTTCTCATGGACAGGGACAATGCTGAAGTCTTTTTCAGCAAGGTTTCCGATCTCGAAGAGTTATTTTATTGCTTGGACCTACACCTGGATTACATTTTAAATGATGACCAGCCACTTGAATTTCAGATTCAAAGAGCTTCCGAACTTTCAAATGCCATTGCCTCCATCTTTCGGGCCACTGCTTTTTATAGGGATGAGCACCATATGTGGTATCCCCCTCCCGAAGGCTTAACTCCCTGGAATTGTCAACCTGTTGTCCGGAATGGGATGTGGAGAGTGGCGTCATTCATGGTTCAGTTGTTAAATGAGACATCAAGGCTTGGGGAGTCTGCCATATTAGATTTCCATAGTCATTTAGAGGTCCTAGCTGAAGTTCTACTTGAGGCATATGCTGGTGCAATTGAATCTAAGCTTGGGCGTGCCGAGGAATACAAGGGGCTATTAGATGAGTATTGGAAAAGGAGAGATTTCCTTCTTGAATCTCTTTATCACCAAGTCAAATACCTTGTGGAAGGGAAACGCCAAGTAAGTATCTTTTCTTCACTCTTCAGATTGTGTTTTCATCTATTTGTGTGACTGAGGGAGATTCTGGAGTTAGATATGCTTCCACTAATCTGTTCTTGCAGTTTCTTGCTATAGAAACTGGTGAGCAGCATGAAGAAATCCTTAGGAAGCTTTCCGCAGGCTTGTTAGCAATTTCTAAAAGGCACGAGGGTTATAGT